TATGTCTAACTGGACACGATCAGGATTCAATTCAAAACTAGTAATTCAGAATATACCTACCTGTCTTCTAAAGAAAAACAATAGCTAGACACGTGATAGCACAGTGGTAAAATGCAACTCTCTGTGAGGCTGACTCACATGGGAAGAGCCGGATTTGCCTTTGGAGACTTCCCTGAGGATGCACGGCTACACCCTTACCCGTGATCCATGTTGGCCATGGCATCAAGACTCTGTTGGAGGTGATGTTTCCCTGTCTCTCTGTTTCTCTCACTTGTGGAAGAAAGAAATGAATAAACTAAAAACAAAAACAAAAAACAAAACCAAAAAATACCTAATAGGAGCGGTCTTCACAAAGTTCATGGATGCATAGTATGAACAACGTATGAACTGAAAAAAAAGTTTTTCGTGGGGATGGTTGAGGTTCTGGACTACTGCTACTACAAGGCTGACTGCGGTTTGAGTCCCAGACCTGGATGCTTGCTTTCTCTCATCCCCCTCCCCCCCACTCCGGTCTCTCTTGGGCAAAATTTAAAAAGAAAATAATAATGACAAATAAAATAATTCTTAAAAACACTTTTTTTTGGTACCAGAATAAATTCCTACTTAATTCCATTTTCCATAAACTCTTAAAGTACACCTGTATGTAAACAGAAAAGTAGTCCCTATTACAACTAGCTAATAAACGCTAGACAATTAAAATCTAGTTGTTTTGCTTCCTGAGACATTAAATCTCCATTCCCTTCTTTCCTCACTAGAATGGGTTTCTCTTTCAGCCCCTTTTTCTGCTTGTAGTTACAGCTATCAGCCAAGGCCAGGTGCTCTTCACTTATACATATTGTTATTACAGTAACACTTCACTCATCTGGAATTCAGCTTTGGAAAACTTCAACTCCTTAAAACATGCCTAGGAATTGGTAAATAGGGAAAATTTCAAACAGAAATTATATAGAAGAGTCTATGAACCTGTTGACAGAAAACAACCAACTCTAAAAATTAATAATTAATAACTAATGCAGTTTATTTCCAAGCAGAATATGAGTGATGCAGGCCCAGAGAGGAGGCAAAACATGCCTTTCTCTCAGGGTGATCAGGTAGAAGGGTTCCTTTTATTTGATTTTGAGAGTGAGAGACAGACTTTGGAATCTAGTTCAGTTTTTCTATTGGTCTGGCCCAAAAGGGCGGGACATGTGGAAGTGGGGTAGGGGTGGTGTCTTGTAGGTTATAGGTGGATTTTACAGCTTTTAGGGTGGTGATTAGAAGAGGAAGGTTGCTGACAGCAGGAGGGAATGTACTTTAACAGTGGCAGGGAGGCTTAAATACATCACAAAGATACTCCCATACTTTGCCAAGTGTAGGATGTAGGAAGAATCCTATTACTAATGGGCCAAAATGGCCGGTCGACATTAGTGGGCATGACTCCCCCTAAGTCCTCTGGAAAGGGCTTTGGAAAATAGGAAAAAGCAGTCAGGCTTCTGTCTACAAACCAGTATCTGTCTCTCAAATCTTAATTCAATTTCATACTCAATATATATCCAATATTTGATGGGTATATTCTGGGGGGCATAAAATTATCTTCTCAGAGATACATGTTACTTGGAGATATAGAGACCAATAAAATACTCTGAAGAAATGTCAGTTATAGTAAGAGTAACTAATCTGGTTTTACGGCCATGAAAGAATAAAAGCATGGGACCAACAGTTAGCGTAATGGCTATGTCGCTGGACTCCCATGTAGTCGATCATGGTTGTGTCCCAGACCCGGTGGCTTAAAACTCACGCCAGGCGCATGTGCGTGCCTACCCAAGATCCCAAGAGGAGAATGGAGAAGGGATTGTGGCATGGCCATACCCCCGGGGGATAATTTCTCGCTTTCCGTCTCTCTGTCTGGAGAGCACACGCGCCCTATAGCAAAAAAAAAGAAAACCCAACAACAAAACAAAAACAAAAACAACTCTCCAAAAAAAAAAAGAATAAAAGCAGCAAAATGGAATTAAGCAAGAATTCCTACTGACAGGCACGTACATGAGTAGCAGCAAGATCAAAACTATTCTTGGTTCTATTCTTAATTCACAGAGTAATTCGAAGTCAGTCCCTCAAACTCTGGGAACTCATTTGGATTAGATTATCTCAAAAGCTCATATTCTATTCTAAAATGCTATGACTATGGTAGGAAAACAGCTGACGATATGACAATAAGAGTTAATGTTTTTAAAGACACATGAGGTGGAAAAGAACCACAGCAGCTTGGGGTCATTTACCATAGATGCAAACTGCTTTGCTCTCTTCAGTAAGCTACAGCTTGGCACTACTTGCCTACTGTTCATAATGACCCACAGGCTGGAAAAGCCCAGGCAGAGCGATCACATGCATATGCTTACATATGCATTCTTCATCTTACCATTTGTATTTATTAACTTACGATCCTCCACTAAATTACGAGTCCCTCTATGGCAAGCATCTTACTCTCTTCACCCTTGAAACAATGGCCATCACATTAAAAAGTTCTCAATAAAATTTTTCAAAAGCATTAACCTTCTCTTTTGACAATTTTTGACATTTGCATTCAATTATTTTTAAAGAGATTTTTGCTATAGGGCATGCGCTCTCACTAGAGAGACAGAGACACAGAAAGTGAAAAATCACCCACCAGGGGGATGTCATGCCACTATTCATTCTCTTCCATTCTCCTCTCAGGACTTTGGGCACACATGTACATGCACACAGGGTGAGTTTTAAGCCACTGGGTCTGGGACTCGAACTGCAGTGACTACATGAGAGTTCAGTGACTTAAGCATTATACCATCTGCTGGTCCCTGCATTCAGTTTTAAAACCAAATTCTAGGAATTATTTAACTCTACCTCTAAATTAGCTGGTTTAGCCTTTACTGCCTAGATGTCTAGATCATTAACTTCCCTCTTTCTTAGATTTCTAACCTTGCTTATTTTTCAATGAGCTGAGATATAGCTTCCTAATGATTTCTTAAAGAATGGAATGGTATAGGGATTATATTATCTGAATTGTTGTACACATAAAATCATTGTATACATGGTCTTTACATGTCACCCACAAGATATCTTGCCAGAACATACAGTTCTTGAAACTGAGATTAGTACTCTGTGCTCTCTGAGATTAGTACTCTGTGCTCTCTTGGTATTTAGAGTTACACGCTTGAAAATTCAGTATTACCAAACAGATCAAAATATTTTATGAGGTGGAATGGAACAGAAGGATGACAAAGGAAATGGAGATACTTTCTCATTTTTTTCCTGGCCCAACCTTCAAAGACACACAATCTTTGTAATGGAGATAACAATCTTGTGTACAAGGAAATCGTTGGGGAGATGTTTAGAACTCCATCTATACTGGGGTGGACTAATGGAAAGTAGGTGGAAAAGATTCTGGCGTAACTTGTTAGTCTTGTTTCAAACTCAGATTCAGTACGAATATTAATATTTACAGATTATCTTTAAAGCATTTCCCTCCATGATTACATTTCAATTTGTGACTACATTGCATCTTCAAGGTGAAAGTCTCCAGCTAACTGGATGCTATAATCCTAGGAACACTGGGAGAGTTCTGATGCTTATCAATTCATTATGACACATCCCAGTAATCCCTTCCTTTGAATGTTATAATGTTTCAATCAAATCTCTCCTGCCATTGATCACATTGTATTGTAATTGAAATAGTCTGTCAGGCGGGAAGAGGAGCACCTCAAGGGGTGTAGTGTTACATTCACCTTTGTATCTCCAATGTTTGGCACTGAGAAGAAACTCCAGCAGTGTTTATAGGACAGTGGTCATTTGGGGCTGGCAGATGGTGTGGTTAAGCGTGCTGGACTCCCACGTGATCACCCACAATTCGAGTCTAGGATCTGGCAGCTTGCTTTCTCATTTTCTCTCTTTTTCTGTCCCTCTCTGGTCTAATTAAAATAAATAAACGAATAAATAAAGTTAAATAAATAAAAATAATTCTTAAAAAAATAGTAGTCATTTAAGAAAACAAGCATTTACATAAAAAAAAACTCTCAGGCTGGCAGGTGATGTGGTGGTTAAGGCGCTAGACTCCCACAGGGCTGACCGAGGTTGTGTCCCAGACTTGATGGCTTGCTTTCTCACTCCCCCCCCCCTCTCTCCTTGTCTCTCTCTCTCTGGTGTGTGTGCATGTCCTGTAATAAATTAAAAAAAATCTCCTTGTCATATTAGGGTAAGATTGTTGTACTTAAAATCATTTTAATATAAGAAAATACAACTGAAGTTTAATCTTCAGAATACCTCCAACTGCTCATTGATTTGTTCATTCATTCATCAGTACTCTATTCAGCTACTAGGTACCAAGCTGGGTGTTGAAGACAGATGGATGACATCCAGCTTTGGAGTTGTTCCGGGACTAACAGAGAAACTGCATGTCTCTGAACACCCCCATCATTTCCCCTTGAAGGCAGGGCCTGCCCTTGAGACCAGTTTTATAGGGGAACTCCAGAGTGCTGAGGCCAGGCCTCACTGGTCTAATCAGCAACTGGCAAGCAATCTATGGATATTCGCAGCACGAAGGTGAAAAATATAGTCATTGTTTCATCAAATGAACTTTAAAACTTAGATGATCAATAGTCCGCTGTATTTTTTTTAAGCATCCAAAGGTACCAACAGTATTCCAGAAAACACATCAACGACATCTTAGCTGAGAGTGGTCCTCTGAAGTTGAACTGCAATGCAAATTATATACTTACATCGATTTGAACTAAACTTATCCCAACTGAAAGTCCAGAGGAGTCGAGGATGGGTAGGTTTTAGAAATAGAAATAACTCAGCCTCTGCATTGAAGAGCCTGTGAGCTGTGAGACTGAGGCGGAGGCGGCCTCAGCCACCAGAAGGTGACCTCCTCTTTTGGAGAGCGGGGGAGGGCGCGTGCACACTTGAGCCCTTGTCCTTGAAGGGGATTGAGCGAGCCAAGGGGAGGGGTAGGCGGTGCTCGAGTTTCCAATCACAATAGAGAAACCTAAGAGGCTGGGAGGTGTGGGCCCCGCCTCCTCCTCGCTCCTTGCAGATCCTGCGCGGGTGGAGAAGCGCACAGCTGACATTGTCCTCTAAGCTCGACTGTTCCAGCCATCTCGAGAGCTTTCTCTGCCCTGGTAAGTTTCAGCTTGGGACCCTGAATCCTGGCACACAGACAAACAAAACAGGGCGTACAGGGCAGTCATTATGGGGGAAGATTGGGGAAAATACCAAGACGCATGTCTGCCTTCTGGGGCCTTCCGCCCTGGGTATCTGGACTCCAGCCTTGACTCTTCTCCCTTGGCGAGCCGGGAGCAAGCGGTGCGCTGGGCAGGGGAGCAGAAGTCAGAGAGGAGCGCAGCGCGGAGCCCCGGCTGCGTCCCCACTGCTGCGGGACGAGTCTCCCGTCTGCCTTCTATCAGAGAGACTTGCTGCATTTGCGGCTAGAATCGGCCCTACGTGCCCTTGATGGGTTCATGGCGGCCGCATCACTCTCTTCCCCCCACCCCCAATACCCCTTGGCGGGAGCCCGGGACACGTGCCAGAAGGGCTAGGGAAGGAGAAGGAACCAGGTGGCATGTGAAGGCTAGAGGATTGTGAACCTGTATTGGGGTCTCCTACCGCTGTAATGGAGAAATGCCCCTGGGATGACGGGAAAGGCATTAGATGCTCTGCAAGTTTAGCCCTGCATCCCAGCTGGAACCGCTCCGCAGAGGCAGTGCGTCTAGGACTTCCTATGCCCGGGTGGTTTTCTGGCCTCTTTTCTTGATGCTCAGGTGCTTTGTTATTTGCCAGCTTTGGGTGCTGGGAGTTAAGAAAGGCCTAGACTTGTCCGCAGAGACCATATCCGAGGAGATCTGTGGTTGCTGGCTGCCTCGTGACCTGCTGTTCTCTGCGGGCTTGCGCCCGGAGGCAGGGGTGGCTGTGGGCGGTCCACCGCGAGCTGGAGCTGCTGCTGGGGCCTGGAGTGGGGGAAGGGGAGAGCTGGCTTTAGCTTGGCGA